GGAGAAGGAAAACGAGGTGGAGAGCCGTATTTGCAACCCTAAATGGGTGTAGAGTTTTGTCACACGCTGATGAGACTGCTACTTTCTACTTACTTACTGCTTTACTTATACCTCACGAGTATTCTTGAAAAAAGAAACCGTGTTGAGAGATGATACTTAAGATGTGAAATGAAAAAAAAACAAGTTAAAAATTTATATCATGGGGTTTTTGATTGAGTGCTTATGATATATAAAAGGTTGATGCCATTCAGTGGCTAGATATTTGTATTTGGATCACTTGTCTTTGGTATTCATTGACGGTAGGTACGGTACGCTAAATAGGTAATATCTTTGCTTTTACTTAGGTGTCCTTGATCATTCATCTTTCTTTCTTTCTTGTGTATACTTATATATATCTATGTATATATATATTTACTCACTCACAGAGATAAATTCATCTACCTACGTCTGGTCCTTCATTTTCGATTCCTAGTGTCTATCTTCCTATGTGTAGGTATCTAGGTGTATTCACTTGTGTCGTTGGGCCATCCCCTCCTTTCATCGTACTCGTAGATTTGATGAGAGTGTATGTTTTATTTTTATCTCATGGTGGGTATAAAAGCTACCGAGTTTTTGATGTTGATGCGGTACAATGCCCCAAAGTTTGGTCAGAGATGGGTCCTGTAAGACCTCTGTCTTTGAGAAATTTTCAATTTGAGTTGTGTTGGGTTTTCATTCGTTGGATATATTCTGCAGCGTGGCGGGAGTGCGTCGCGCGTATTTGTCGTTTGGATTTTATTATTGTTGTTTCTTCATTCCTTTTTCTTCATTCCTTTTGGTTGGTGATTTGATATTTCGAATTTTGCTGGCGTCGATCAATCGTCACTTCCAATCTTTCCCGCCACGTTTATTTAGTCTTGCCTCGAGACTTTGGTCTTGATATCTGAAGATTGTTATCAATCGAATGCCAATGAGATAACCATATCTTCACTCTCTTAATATGGCGACGTGGTCAGAAACCTTTCCACCCTTGTCATATTCTAGCGTAGATCTGTCGAACCCCTTTGAGAGATTGGAGGGAGGCTTTTATATCCGAATCGGAAGTCAAGTTTGGAGGAATTACTGGAGGATGAAAGTAAGAAAGTATGGTGATGATTCACTTTTTCGTTTTTGAGGTGTCTTGACTCTTGATTAGGAGTTGGTGTATCTCATACAAGTTCATGATTCCCTCTTCATCGATCTCTGGTGTAACCTCTACTTTTGAGACCGGAGCAGAGTTTATGAGGGGAGGAGGGATATATAAACATGTATCTCTTCACGTCTTTGGAATATACAACACATTAATAAAAATATCGAAAGGTATTATAGGCCGACTGCAACAGCAGATGCATATGCTATATCTCTTATAGCTAGCATCGATTGTTTTCTAGTTGAAGAATCAAGAAGCCAAGATTGTGGAAGGGGATGCGAAGTAAAAAGAGAGAGAGAGAGAAGTTGACGGTACCTGAGTATTTACTGTCACTACTCCAATATTCAAAATTGTCGTTGATTTTATTTACTCCCATTCTATATTGTAACTTACTGAAGTTGTTGCATCTGGATTACTCTACTTGTAGTATATAATTGCGAGAGTTCTTGATTGTAAAAGTCGCACCATCTATGATTTGGGTTTTGATGTATGCTCGAAGTCTCCTCAGCTCGCATACCTCTTCACGGGTTGCATTTCTTTACTGCTTAATTGTGGCAGGTCTAGTGTATATATACTACTAGATGAGATAATCACACATCTCGAAGTCGGGAAATAGAAAGAGGGGAGTGGAGGGGAGTCTGGGGTGGGGGCGAGATTCAGGTGGTATGGGAATCATGCTATGAAAAGTCAAAGTCTGCGTATTTATTCACTCGTCACTCTTCTTTGCCAGTATTCTCCTCGTTTTTCTGCTTTATAAGATGCCTTATTTTCTTCTCTCTCACTTCTTGCACCCAGTAAATACCATCATCATCTTCAATGTCTTTAACGAGACGGTTAATTTTTGTGATTATTATACCAAACTTGAGGCAGAAAAGTTGAAGCCCAAAATTCAAAACCCCGTTTCTTTTAGATTTTGATATAAATATTCCAGGTTAGGAAAGTTGCATGTGTCATGTTATGGGTTTGCATGCAGTTAATGCTCATATCTTCGAGTACCAGGAGATGTAATACTTGAAACGAGTATGTTTTGAACACAAACTAGACTCGAGACGTAGTAATGTGATGTTGATAGTGTGAGAAATCGATTCCGGCATTCTTAGGAGTGAGGGTCAAGGGGGGAAAAGAGAAGAGGAGGCTGTCTGTTTGTATCAAGCTGCTTATGCTGTTGTTGTTTAATCCATAGAATCGCTTGTATTCATACCGCTTGAAGTATTTTTGGGTGAGATTGTAGCTCACACTTCACTTAATATGCAGCATCCAGCCTTTTGCCTCTGCTACAAAGAATAATTTTATCAGTTACTTTGTACTTGTGTGTTCCGGTAGCTGTGCTGATTATCTTATTCGCAGGTAGTGGGTGGATAGTCTTTATATAGCAGAAAAGGTTTCCAAGTAGATGATTTATTCACTCACTAATTACATTCCCTCAACTGCTTCCGTCTCCAGTGTACGCATGATGTTATCATGTAATTACAAGCTCCGTTCAATGGTTATATAAACGCTTGCTCGAACAAGATTTCATAGAGCCAAGATTTCCGAAGAATACTGTTACAATGGGCAAGGCGGGATCTTTGACTTTGTTGATAGATTCTCGATATGAGTTGCATTAGGTTAGGTATTTTGTATTTGTAGAACAATGGATAGATAAATTAGTAACTATACTGGTAGAGACTTATTATTTTTGTCGTTTCCGAAGGTTGGGAAGATGGGTTTTCTGAGATAATAACAGCTAGTAATTGTTGTTGTCATTCGACTTTGTATTATTATCTCCGAACTTTCAAACGAGCTCCCGCTCCGCCAACAACTCAAGAGTCGAAATGTCAGGAAGTATTTCCGTCTCTAGCACTACACTATTCTGGGCTAATTATAATAATCATGATAGCTTTCCTACAATGAGCCATTGATCTTAGGCTTTGGGACTTTGTAATCTGGTTAAGTTGTGACAGACTAGGAAGAGAGGATTGTTTATACAACTTGAAAACAAAAAAGCAAAGTGGACTTACAGGATGAAATCAAATCCGGAGAATCTAGTAGTGAATGTGAGATCCGGAAGAGGTATTAACGTGATTTATTGATTCAAGATCATCAGTCACTCATTCACTTACTCCTTCCTTGCCTGTTTAGTTTCTCGCCTTGCAAACTTTTGCTGAGGCTTATTTAAGGGCTCCACCGAGAGGCTCCCTAGAGCACAAACCGAATCCATGCCGTCAGAACTAGACGTTATATAGCGACAAATTTACTGTCGACGAGTTCATATAAGTTTATTCGCTTTGGATATATGATATAATATTCAGTGTAGGCAATAGTATACTATAGTAAAACGGTGGCGCGTATAAAGCTTTTAATACGGTAGTTAGTGTGTATTAGATAGTTGAAAACTCACTGCTGTAAATATCACTCAAAACTGATATCTACAAAGACATACAGGAAAACTGAAATATAAAAACCTAAAAATAAAAACTAATCCTAATAAAGCCTAGATAATAAAAAAATATTACTCAATTATCTCTAGATTTCTCAAAATAATCGAATTTGTTAATATTTATATTCAAAAAGATCAAAATATTTAATATTAATAATTTATTATCAATCAATTAATAATAATTCAATTAAATATATGATTTGAATATTATTAAAATCTAGGGATAACCTCAAATTCATATATTTCGGTTTATTCTATACCAATTAGATATCCTTATTCCTGTATTCCTGTATTTTATTAGTGGTATTCAATATTAGAATAATATTGAATATCTTTAGTGGTATCGAATTCCATATTATGTATGTATATATTTCGAAGAAAAATCGATATGTACTATTATCTAGCCTGTATACGGATTACGGGAAATACTATTGCCTACACTGATAATATTGGAAGTTCTGATCTAAAATCTTGGTGTGATGTAGGAGGAGCAGTGTTGCTTGATTCGCCCATTCCGCTTCAGATGATCGAACTCAACGAATATAGGACTAACACATCAATGATATAGTTCTGATAGTATTGTACCTCGCTGAAGATATTAACGAAAAAGAGTAAAAGTAAAATCTACCTGACCACGCAACTAAAGCTGGGCCAATGTGAGCTGATATCTTCCCAAATTCTGCATTCGGATCTGGTAGGTCATATACTCTCATTCCCCATGCAGACCATATTCTAATGTTGAATGGGTCCAGAGTTCTGAGATTACTTCATCATAATCTTTTAATTCCATCAGTATTGAGACAACAGTCATGTTCATATCTACAAATGCCAACATTTCTATCCCGAGCCTTCTTTAAGTTCCGCGCGCTAATTCTTTAGCCTGGAGTGCGTGAAATTCTGGTCTGTTTCCGCGTCACACTCAACATGAACTATATTTGAGGAACCAAAGTCAGAAGTCTTTGAGGAAGAATTGATAGCTTGCGCTTTTACGTTACAGGAGCAATACATTTCGCGTGAAGTTGATATTGCTCCGCAAATAAAATGGGATGATATAAATGCAACATTAAGAGAATCGTGAGCTAGAAAAATTACTCCCTCAGCTTGAGAGGATGGAAAAAATGTTGTTGAGGTCTTAGAATTGTGTACATGTTCGTCTGTGCACAAAGGGATAAGACGGTGTTTGAGCATGGCTGCCTTATTCTTTGCGCCTCAGAGCTGTGTCTTAGATTTAGACAAAGAGAAGAGGCATACAACCATCAATTTGATGTTTCAGATTATTTGGTGGAGTGGTTGAAATCAACAGGGATTTATCTGTTGGGATGGGGAAAGGAAAGGATACAGATTGGGCAGAAGTTCTCACTTATTGGGAGTAGTCTTCTATCCACCATGAGAGCTCTGAAATCTAACCAATAAATGAGGAAATCAATAACTTCAAAGATTTTGGAGGCGTATGCACGCTGTAAGTATTTTACTTCGCTTACGGCTTCATGAAACCACGATTGTTAAGTTCAAAGAGAAGCTTTAGTATACAAGAAGCAACTATACAGACCTGTCCTCATCAATTCTAATTCCTCATCAACAGCATCCGTAAAATTCACATCACATATACCACCCAAGTATCCACAACATCATTACTCAACAACTCGCCCTTCTCATCAAATCAAATCAAGAAAACAAACCATCATCATGTAAGTACCACTTGTTAAAGATCAAGTCTCACCACGCTAAAATACACACAGGTGTGAGAGGACCACAGCTAAAAAGGTCATCAAGCGATTTGATGGAGCTGTCCAAATCGAAACCTTCAGCAAGTATGTGGATTGTCAGAGAAAACATTGCGCAAGCTCTGGTTCTTACAATTCTTCGCCACCGATGGGTAGCATCAAGAACGGCAACGGGAACACGGATGCAGAGAAAAAATAGGAATATTCTCTCAGGTTGTGCTACGACTTTTCCTGTTCTGCTGAATCTCCTTCTGGGCACGGGTGCGTGGGAGATTTAGTTTGGAGATATGAGCGCAGCTACGGATTGATGGGTTGGACGCCGAGGTTGAGATATTTGGATGCGAAGGAGGAATATGGAATGGTTTCGGAGAACACAGACACAGACAAATACCAAGTCTAGGTTCTGGAACACTTGCCCTGATTGAATTTTGAGGGTGCCGTGGTAGTGGGGGACTCATGTTCGTTTAAAGCGTAACATTATTCATTGAAATGGAATTCAGCATTTCTTGCTATGAAGAACTTCTTCTCAACATGAGATGACATCATCCTGTATATCGTGATCTATGAACTGCTCCTTTTTGACCTTTAATGAGATCATACCAAGTCCCACAGGTGATATTCTCCGCTCGGAGAATCTGTAGCAAAATAATACACGCCTTGAACACACTGCACAGTAAAGAATTCAAAAATATCACCCACGGGATGTCAAAGTGAAAAGAATAGCTCATTGAATATCATCTATCTGTTCGTTATCAAAATCATAATTGATACACACAAAAGTACAAATGCCATCCCTGCCCGACTCCCAACTCCTTAATCTATCTTTTCAACGATATCCTCTAATGCCATAACCGAACTAGAAACTCCCATTCCTCATAGATCAAGTGGATATCTCTTTCTAATCTGTCCTCCATACTTATAGATCAAACCTGTTGCGGGAATCATCGCTACAGCTATGAACCCCAACATGGTGTTTCCCCATCCCAGTCCCAATTTTGCATAAATGCTTGGCGCAGCTAACGGCAATAGAGCGCCGAAAAGACTCCTACTAGCCGTCATAGCTGCTGTCGCACTAGCTGCAAAAAGAGGGAAGCTATCAATAATATATGTCTGGATAGGAATGAAAACCCCCATCATGCCGAATCCGAAGGGAATCAATCCGATAACTGGTATGATCCAATGGGCGTGTTTTTCGGCCGACCATCCATACCAGAAAAATGTGATGGGAATGAATAATGAAAAGAAGAGACAGGCCGGTAAACGCATTTCCGGCTCGAAAATACCGTTATTTGCCGCGGTCATACGTATCACTGTCTTGTCGGAGATTTTCGTCACGAGAGCTAGACCCGAGAAGAATCCAATGCCGATACCAATATAAGCAAGACCACAGAGTCCTACACTCCATCCATATTGCTCTTGGAATACTGGTGTGATTGTAGTGAACAGTAGGTACAGTAAGCTGTATGCAAAACAGATGTATATCGAAAGTATGAAAACGATTGGTGACATGAATAACATCTTGAGTGGTCGAAGAAGGCCGTTGAGAAGAACTGTTCTGGTACTAGGATCGCCTCCTAAATCATAGCAAGACAATAAATCTGGACGATTAAGCTCTAGCCGAAGCTTTTGTGTTTTTCTTCGGATTAAAACAGGAGGATAAGTTTCGCGATTGAATATTTCAATGCCAATTGTTGTTACTGTGCCAGCACAGAATATAGCCCAGAAAATCCAATGCCAGCCAACTCTTTCTGCTATGAAGCCACCGCAGATGGGTCCTACTACTGGTCCAAACAAAGGACCAATGGTGTACGCTGCTGAAGCCGCTCCACGTTGCTCGCGTCGAAAAAGGTCAGCTATCACACCACCACCGAGCGCCAAACAACCGGAACCACCAATACCCGCAAAGAAACGAAATATTATGAGTGCGGTGAGGTTAGGAGCAAGAGCGCAGCCAATTTGAAACAGACAAAAGACGATATTGGATGCACATAGTACAGGTCGTCTTCCATAAATCTCTGATAATGGTGATAAGAAAAGAGGTCCGAAGACAATGCCTAAAAGAAAGACCGTAACAGTAAATGTGCTTAGTGTTTCATTATGATTGTTGAATGTCTCTTCGATGTAAGGCACACCAGGAGCGACCATAGAAGATGCTAGAGGACTGACAACAGTGATGCTTGATATTAGTCCGAGAAGAAGCCATTTTCGGCTTGGAGGAAAGTTTTGAGGGTTATTTGGGTCGTCCTGGCCATCCCAACCAACAATGCCTGCATATAAATCGGTTTCTGGTGCCAGTGCATCACTGGGTTTAGTTTGTGCGGGAACATCGTTTAATTTAACATCCGTCTATATCCAGTTAGTCTTGGAGCAAACCAGGAGTCAGAATACATGCTTTTGGATAATTAACAAGAGCTATGTCTGAGAGATTTGATGGATCTTCAAACTTGTGGCTGCTAACATGACTCTTATGAGTGCTTCCAGTAGGAACTCTTTCTACAGAGTACGTATGTGATGTATTTGAACCATATAGTGTTTCCTCGGATCCAGCCACTCGCGTGTGTCCTCGCTCTTGAGCTTCCAACATCTGTATCGATTGAACGAGACTTTCTATGTATCTACAATCGAAATAATGGTGTGCTCAGTCGGCCGCAATATCTTTGATAAACTTAAAAGAATGCCTGAAGATGATGGGGTTTGGTGGTGGGAATAATAGGTAGGAGCGATTCGCGCAAATGTCCTTCTTACTTTCAGTATTTTATCAAAACTCTGTTTCGATGCATTCTGCTCTACTCTTGGTGTCGCTGGAATGAAATGAATGATAAAAAGAAAGTGAGTCTCGAAGTAGAATGAATGTATTTGGGAGCAAATCAAGAATCCGACGAGAAAGAAATTATCTGAAAACCGTTGCAAATTACTGGACATGCAAAAAAAGTCAATGAAAATCTCATCGGGCAGCTATTTACACAACATCTCAAACATATGTTGTCCTTGACATCATTGTCCAACCTTCGGATCCGAATATACCCGGACAGAAAATTATGGCTTACGTTTCTCAGCTGCCAGTAACCTACTGTAATCATTGTATGATAAATTAATGAATATAAGCCGGATCCGACGAATTATTTTGATTTGAAATATAATATCACGGTACTCTCACAAAGACGATTTGATTCACTGTCCCACTCGCAATAGTCCAACAGATCAATGCGAAGATAGAATCAAGAGAGCGATGCTTTGCAAGAAGCATTGCTATCTCTAGCTAAGCAACTCGGAACCTTGCAGGTTACATTGCCAGCCAACAGCAAAACAATATCGAAATCATGCTGTCCTTGCCACTGAAACCTTGCAGCAGGCAGGATTTCAACATATTTGAACAAGAGGGTTGGAGCAGATATATTTCAAGCGGGCTTCACTGTTAATAAGGTTGTCGAGAAGCCTTTCTTGGCGAAACCGAGTTCACTGTATCCAACACTGAAACCCTTTCTCGATGCTATCGGAGGCACGTTGTATAGTCCAGTATCTCAGGAACACGCATATATTTCAGATAGGCTGATATGGTCATCGAGAAGCCCTCTTGATGGTACGAGGGTCCATTGTATCCAACATCGAAAGCCTTGTGTGCACCATGTTCACCTGGAAGGCTACCTCATCATGTGGCAAGAGCAGAAGAACGACTGGTGAAGACGAAAAGTTACAAAAATCTGCCTATGGTCGCACCGGGGTCAGAAGAGAAGCTGGTGAAGGTATTGATTGAAGGAACTGAAGAAATTCCAGAAGTTGAACGCATTGAGTATCGCAGTGTTGCAGTAGCGCAAGGCTGAGTCATACGTGGGGACTAGTACCATTTCAGCGGACCCCGAAAGTGACCCCATCGAGCCCATATCCCATACCAATACCCACTCCCCTCTCCCATAAACCCTGTGTATCAAACCAACCACACCATAGCCTCCAATTGATTGATTGATTGATTGTTCACTGCAAAGCCACTTCACTTCATTCATATGGTGCATCATTCACCATATATAAATCATCATCAATTGTGCTATCCAAGTATGATATGTGAATGAGTATATCAAGGTTTCGATATTCAACATTGCTACGGTGCACTACCAGATACTTATATTAACTTGCTTACCTGCACCCCTCCCACCCCACCACAGTGCTATCACCCACTATACATCATTCGTGATTACAACCTTTACATTCGTCCAAATCTTGCTAAGAATCTGTCACAATGGCCAAAAAATCGAAGAACTCCATTCCGAACCCACCTCGAAGTATTTCTGACGACTCCAGCAACGACGATGGAGCTCCCGTTTACACACCACCCGAAACTGAGTCTAATGATAGTCTATCGACCTCAGCTCATCTTCCGGACCCAAACCATCTCCACGATGTAATTATAGGACTTCAAAATGTCAATCTTGCGCAAGATAAAGCTGATCAGCTGGAGCAAGAGGTAGACAAGGATATCTCTACGCATAAAAAGAAGCAGGGTAGAAGTCGAAACCGTTCTTCAAGCAAGAAATCGGTTTCCGCAGATATCGTGGTCAGCAATGTCACCGATTCCCTCCAGAACCTTGAAGTTTCCGACAAAGATCTAAACAATTTGGAGTCAGAGAAGATCAACCTGAAAGCTGCAAAGAACAGAAGGGAGAAGGAGAGGAAGAAGAGACGCAAGGCTCGACTAGCTGAGGAGGAAGAGCAAACCCGGGGTGAAATATCCAACTACAAATGGTTCAAAGACGCGGGATGGAAAGACATGAAAGATTTCATGATAGGTCATGGATTTGAATGGGGTGATCTTGACGATTATGCTGCGGCAAGTGAGTTGATCAAGAGACTCAAAGAGGATCAAGGTTCCGAGGAACATGCCGAACCAGAGCCACCAAAGAAAGAAGTAATCAAGGATGCTTCTGTCAAGGCAAAGATTGCAAAGACCAAGAAGAAGACTGTAGTCGGCTTGTGGGAAGATTACTTTGGAAATGAAACAGAGCTTGCAAATTGGCAAAGACTTTGTGTCGATGTTGGCTTGGAAGAGATACCTACAAGTATTACTAAGTGTCGCAAGGTAAATAATACACATTCCCCCATGGTCTCGTTATGATGCTAATATCTATATTTCTATAGGCTCTAGGAAAAGTCTGGGTTAACATCTTCGATTTCCTCGACGCCAAAGCTGAAGGTAAACCAGTTAAGAGATACCCGAGCGAACGTAAACTTGCTACATATACACTGAACACTGGCAAAATTTACCCAAAGAGCAAAGCTAAGGAAGGCGGTCCCGCTAGAGTTCTATTGGCGCACATTTTCGGACGCTAGGAACAGATTTAATGAGGTTCTCGAGGCGTCATTTTCTGACATGTTACGCAAGGATGATTTTATGAGCAAACGGATGACATATTTGGGAATTTGACTTTATGGTTGGGATATCAGGATTTGGGATAGTATGGATGGTCAGGATGATTATAGCGTATTGGCAAGGGATTTGTATCGCGTTCATCAGATTGCCTTTGCACGGGACAGTAATAGCCTGGAGTGTGGATAGCTGCATATACAACGCATATACAAGCATTTTTGCACATTCTTCTGATGTTCTCGTTTGTTTTTACCTTTTCTACTTTGACATCTCTTTTCTTTTTCTCTTTCTCCCTTGTTCTGAATGCTCTCTATCATTTCCTTCTCTTCGTAAAACTTTCTACCTGCACCCTTCCACTCTTTTCTCATTCTGCATTGCTGCATCATTACATACTCTAACTCCCGGCGATCGTTTGCACTCCTATCAAAGATACAATCATGCACAAAGATACAACCAAAAATTCCCAACCATCCTATTCATCCCACATTCTATGCTTTGAATTTCTCACCACCCTAACATAAATATCCAACAATCAACATCCACTTTAACTCATCAATCCTCATCCCTCCCCACACCAAAACAACCTCTCTCCCCTACCCACCGCGTGTGCTCGCATCATACCAGCTCCCCCCCCCCCCCGAACCTCCCCGGAAACCCCAAAATGCCACCCTGTCGCCCCAATATCGCCGGCGACTTTGATAGATATTTCGGAAACGTGAGCGATCTACGAAATTGGCAGCAATTGTGCGCGGATGTGAGAATTCCTCAAGCGTGGAATTTGGGGAGTATTAATGCTTGTAGAAAGGTGGGTCTGAGGAGTGTTGATCTCGTGGTTTGGGAAGAGGAGAGATGGGTTGGGATTGGGAATTTGTGGTCTGGAGACTGGAGATTGGAGACTCGTGGTTCTTTTATGATGATTATTATCTACTATATATCTTACTTCTTCATTTTTCATCCACGCATCCTCGTCATCTATCTTGCCTCTCGCATTTCCCGTTACTAATACACATATCTATCCCTTCTAGGCGCTCTCCAAAGTCCACGTCAATATCTGTCAACTGTTGGAATCCTTTCAGACTGGTGTTCCCGTGCGCCTTTTCTCAACTAGGGATGAGCTTCTTGCGTATACGATCAAGAAACATAAGTTTTATCCATTGAGTGAGGCGAAGAAAGGGGGGCCGGTTAGGGGATTGCTTTTTAAGAGGGGATAGAGGGGGGATGGAGGTATGGGATGAAGATGAGAGGAGAGGAGAAATTGTTGGGAAGAGTAGGGACAAATTGCATGAAATGGATAACAGAGGGCAATTGAAAGATTTGTGGATGTTCGAAGAACTTACTTTTGTAAATTCCAGATCTTGAAAAGGTAGGATAATGACTGACCTCAACGTTGGAAAAAACTGGATCAAGCTCGACTTACATAGTTTTGCGAATTCTTCACTCTCAACCAAAGACAACGGGGGGTTTTTTAATATGTCAAATCCGACACTATAATCATTCATTACATCTATACCACTAACTTCTAATTTCCCACAACCTGATCTTTCCAGCTTCATTACCAACCGCCAAAACATCACTTCCACTACCAAATGCCACGGACGAAATTCTTCCTAATGGTGTATTCGATGTTGGCCAGTTCTTATATACTGTACAACTAGGTAGATGTACCAATCTCAAAGCATCTTTCTTCCACCTACTACTAAAAACCAACAATTGTCCATCAGGACTAATTTGCAAATGACTTGTAGGTGTAGTTAATTGCAAAAGTCGTCTATTTGGCTCAGGTCTCTCGGGTATGTTTATATCGTTTCCTGAGATGAAATTCTTGCGATCGTAAATATTTACCACACCACTTTGAGATCCAATCACTACCCAACGATCTCCACCAAGTTGTTTGGGTCCATTTGGTCCACCGAGTGTGAGGACAGTAGCACCAATGGAACCATCATCATTCCAACGAGCGACAAAAGATCCAGTTTCCATACTCCATTCTCCTACTTCTCCACCCTTTCCTACAACAGTCAATCCTTCTCCAGTTTTCCACCAGGCGAAATCAGCAACTCCATTTTTGCCTTCAATTCTTGCTGATGCTATCCATTGTGTTGTATTTGCATCAAGAATATTTATGAGACCACCTCCCTTCTTCGATGAACCAATCAGTCCCATATATCGGCCACAAGGACTGAGCTTGAATCTTTCCATAGTCTTTTGATCATCCTTATGACCATAAATTCGCGTAACCTTGTTGATCTCTCCAGAAGGAAGATCCCAGATGTGGAAAAAACGGCGTCGACCAGCGAAAATGATTTTATCTCCGGAAGGGTGAAGGAATGCGGATGTAGCAATAGGTGTCTTCCTAACGTGAACGCTAGTCAGTTGTGGATGTGGATGTGGATGAGCTGTAGGCGCATATTGGTGTAGATATAGAGTTGATGCTGGACCTGAAGAAAGTATGACTGGGTATTCTGGATGGAAGGAAAGAGAAGTGACGGCTGATGGTTGAGTTTTGGGTATATCCCTCGTTCTTTGAATATCGAGAACTTCTGGTCTGAGTTTCGATCTTTTTGAGGTTGCGGGTGCTTCTTTTGTGAGAGCTCCGGCATCTTGAAGAAGTCTTGCGAGAGGTAATGTAGAAAGGTCGGAATCATCAACGTCCATATCATTCGAAGACAATGAAGAGTCGGAGGCTGCAGATGACCTGCGACGTCGTTTTGTCGGCCTAGAAGATTGCGCCCACTCTGGAACAGGATTGAGACGCTCAAATTGCATTCGTAGTCGCCGTGTGTACTCTCTTCCACTAACTACATCTTCTCCTTCATTGACTCTAAGTTTTCGTAATCGAGAATTTCCAGCCAGAGATACATTCAATCGATCATCGTCGCTATCTTCCCAAGCTAGCGCATCTCCTCCTTCTTCGTCTTCAGGTTGTGGACGTGGTATTAATGCATCTTGAGGCACTGTGGATGGTCCGGAGTCTAGAAAAAATAGCTATAAAAAAGTTAGTGATGATTATCTATATTTAAGCGGCGGAGTTATACATCTGCATCGTCAACTCCCTCAATTCCAATATCCTCTTGTTCTTCTTCTTGATCTTTTTCTTCTTCTTCATCTGCCGATTCGAAATCCATATCTTGACCCAATTGAGCCGTGAATCCTGCACCATCTCCCAAAACAAGTCTGTCTAACTCTTCTTCATCGGAATCCTTATCCATCATGTCAACACTCTCATTGTCACTGGCACTCTCCTCATTTTCTTGAAGAATTGTTCGCGCATCTTTTTTTGGTTTTGCGCTACCATTGGCAGACTTTTTTGATCGTAAGGGAGGCATTGTGGGTGATTGTATAGTTTATTCAAGTATATTCCGTTTTCTCATCAACTTTTTTCTGTCTGATAGAGAATAAATTTGCAGGGATATTGTACAGGGATCAAAAACAGTATGGGAAACGTGACTGCTTCTAGTATTTTATTGGGTGTGCATTTAAGAACGCGCGGTCGGTCACACGTTGCGTACAAGGTGTGTTTTTGGTAAGAAAAGCGAACATTTTATACTCTCCATATGAATAACTACTAGGTACAATACACCACTTGAAATACATGCTCTTTTCAATATTGATATCAAATCGAACAATCAAGATTTTCAACTGAAATGTCGTAAAAACCCCTTGGAGCTTTTCGACGATCAGTTGTTTGAGAGAACATTGGTTCTATTTTTCACCAGTTATGTATATGAACCATCCGCTATATTCGCACTTTGTAGATGTCATGCTCCATTTCCTACAAATCTGCATCCCCTATTTAAGCCTTCTTGCTCGATATTTGTTTTATTCTCTTCTGTATTTGTAACAATACAATAGTATTTAATCTATCACCATGAGCACCACACGAGACATGGCGAGCGTCTGTATCGTTGGTAGTTTTTGCAGGATTATACATATTTTCATAAGACATCAATGAACACAGAGATGGCGAATGTGAGAACGGAAATATAGTGGTATTTCTGCTCGACGTCAACCAGGGACGATCACCTGTTCTAATTTCAGTCCCATGAGGGCATACTAGATGATAATGGAAATACAGATGAGAAGATTAGTCTAGGATGGCGTAATAGAATCTATGGAAGTAAGTTGGGCTTGAAAACAATGCGGTACTGGAGCGTAACCCCTTTGCAAGGGCAGACTATAAGATAGAGAGCTCTTCAATCCTGGAAGAAGTGCGCATTATCTAATATCGTGACGAGCTTCTGTAGCCAATTTCAGAAGCTATCTTTGGTCTGAAAGGAAAGCTAGCCATGTAAGTGGTTTTCAGGCTTGATCCAGTGGTCTTTTTCTAAACGAACTTCTATTATTTGATCGATTGGATGACCTATTTAAGAATATGAAAAGAGCTACTTTAGCAATTTCCAAATTTCCTCGTGATTGATTCATCTTCATCTTTAAACATTCTCCCACCTAGTTTTTTCAATACTAGCACAAGCCTTGCGATATTCAAATGACAAAAAAATCAAGCTCTCCTGAATAACAACACGATAAGTTCGCTTCAATTTAGCACTATTCGAAGAAGTCTTTGTTCGCTTTCCGGATCCGTCATTCAGAATCATGTTAACCATAACATGAAAGGAGAAAGTTCTTGTCGCTTGTTCACCCACAGCTGTCCTTTATCCCCTTTGAACGCCGAAATATTTTAATCCATTGTACAGCAAGCTCCAAAACCCATCTCGAGTTCCCATCTCTAATTTTTTCCTGTTGGAACCTTGACATCCAGAAAACTTCACAGAGATTCTCATTCTGATCTCATGAAACTCTAACCATATCCATATTCAAAGCCAGTATATACTTACATACTTCGATCCTCTAGCAGCCATGGCCGGCATTTTGACTAGCGAAGAAAGGGCCGAACGAGCCGCAGCTCGACAATATCTTGAGCGACCATGGCGCAACCTCGACTTCTGCGTCTACCGCTTCGTTCCCCCAACCGATAAACGTGGACTTCCCTACCCAGAAATAACAATAAATGGTCAAGCTCGAGGACTCGCTGCCGATAAAGTCTGGGTCGGAGATTTCGCTCCTCATTGGGGAGAATTTCTTCTCGATCTAGGCGAACCGGTTTATGATATTCAAAATCATCAACCCTTAGTAACACGACTCGAAGGATTCGGACTCGATCAAGGACGTGTCAAATATAGAAATCTACAACAATTACCCTTTCCCTGGGGAATCGATGGCTCGCTGCCCGTTCAAATATGGGCCAATGAACAATTTCGGGATAATCATCGCTTACCATTCAATCCAAGAGGAATGAGTCGTCTAGATCTCCAATGGGAAGCCCGACGACGCGGTCTTCCCACCAAAGGAAAACGCTCCGAAATAATTCAACGAATCAACCGTCTCGAATTAAAAAAAGGAATCCAAGCCCCTGACTTCTATCAACGCGAAGCGCAGCTGCGTCTCGATTCCGTCCAACTCCCTCTCTTTCGCGTTCTCGAACCCCAGGAACCAGTAAAATCGACACCCCAAACTCCCTTAAAACAACCTCCTTTCGACACGGGCGAAATCGTGCTCGTCTACGGTCACTTCACCGGCGACGAGACCGTTTGTCTCGTGCGCGACTACGAAGGAAATCGCGGACGCATCAGTATTGATTTTCTCGAAGAAATCCAAATGCCGTTCGGACTCAAGTTGAACCGACGCGAATTAGTCGAGGTGCTTGAGAGATTGGGCTGGGCGGATGAAGTGGACAAGACGCCTGAGCCGGAGGAGGGCACCGATGAGTGGAAGGCATTGGCGGCGAAGAGACGTGTGGAAATGGAAAAGGCGGGGGCGACGCAAATGTGGCAGGATTATGATACGAGGTGGAAGGAGGGGATGAAGAGAAAGAAGAGGGCTGAGGATGCGAAGAAGGCGGAGAGAGAAGCGAAGAAGGCAAAATTGGCAGCTGCGGCGAAAGCAGCGGGGGCGAAGTGACGGATTTGACTTTATGGGGTTTGGGGATTGGGGGTTAGGTTGGATAGCAGTTGGTTTTTTGTGGTAGAATGGACTAGCTTGTTTATCTCCTGTTTATTGTATGTATTCAAAAATGTATGATGATATATCACATTTGCATTTGAAAATAGGCCAAGAATACGAATCGCTATTTATTTGGTATCAATGTTATATTTAATTTTTTTTATCCCATACCACTCACTCCCAGCAAATATCTCGCTTCCATCGGGACGTCCAAAATTCCCCTTCCTCTCGATATTTTTTCATGATGCACGGAGTTTCCAACGCCTAAACTCCTCATATGCGAGGGCAATTATGTATCCTTTTCGACACAATCACAGGGCATCTCCTTATCATATCACTCCCTAACCATACCCCTAGCCCTTGTCCTCTCATCCACCGTCAAAACCCAAACCATCTCTACTTCCTCTTCACCCAAACCATCACCTTCAACATTAACCGCCTCCCATTCTTCCTCATCCATATTGACAACCATAGCAACCTGCAGTACCCTTGCAAAAACATCTCTCAAGCCATACTTTCCTCCTCTCGCAATTACTCCCACAATCCCCCCATAATCTCTTTCCATCCTAGTTGCTCCCAATGCATTCATTTTCCCGCTATAATTCCAAACTCTTCTTTCTAGAACTCTTGCTAGATATTGAGCGGTTTGCTCTAGGAGGGTATTGAATGGTGTCGTGGACATGATTCTCTGAATAGGTTTCATGAGAGCATCCCAGTGATGTTCGAAACGACGAGATACCATGTCCTGTAGTATTTCTTGAGGATCATCATCAGTATCGTTTTGGCGGGCTATTTCAGCGAGATCTTCTGATGTAAGGGAATAATCTACGTCGCGGAAAGTTTCGCTTAAAACAGGACGAAGCCGTGGTTTAATGACATTATTGAACATTACTTGAAGACCTTCGCTGACCAACTCATTTGTCTTTGAAGAAAATGTCGCATTAAGACTTGTAAGAGAATTGGAAACGAAAGTGGCATCATGACCATAGGGGAACGTGTCTTTTAAAGCTGGAGCAGGTGGTGCACCTTTAGCTTGAGATGCGCTGTTTGTTTCGGAAGATTGGAGATGACTCGACACAATTCTGGAAATATAGTCATTTGATACAACAAGACTGTTGATCAGGACGATAAAGGCGATAATTCTATCTTCCGGTGGAAATCCGCCTTGGACGAGTGGTTTTGGGTAAGATTCGTCTCGCATTTTGCGTTGAACCATTCCTACAAAATCGGTTCCCAAAACTCTGCTTATTGCTGGAATAACGGATTCGATTACACCACGTTGTGATGTTGAAATGGATCGTTTAAGTACTGCATTGACGATATACATAACATCATCAACAGCAGAGATTATGTATGGAGCAGTTCCATCTATAGAATTTGATAGATTGAGAGATAATCCTGTAGGAGATTCATCCAATTGAAATGCTTTCTCAACAGATCGTCGAAAGAAAAATGTAGTCATAACATTGAATGGATCCTTCAGACGATTTGAAATTTTTCGACTAAGAGCTGATTTGTCTATTAACTCTGGCATGACTAGAGGATCATCTGAGCTAGCTTCTGGATCCTGTGATGTATTAGAAATGGCTTGCAGAAGGGCTGGTATTGATGTTGGACTTACCCTGCACTTGCCGCTCAAGAATCGAGTATATAATGACCAACGACCTAACATCACAGCCATCTCATTCAAAAGACCATCTACTTCTTTCATATCCACACCCTCATCTTCACTTGCTCTCCCATTAGCAGCCGCTCCAACTGCAGGTGAGCCCGTCCTCGAAATTCCAGTTGGTCTTTGATTCGGTAGAAAGCTTTGCACCAAGAAAGAAAACGGATAACTTCTCACATCTGTCAATCTCCTATCGACATTTTTCTCGTCTCCCCATGTGTCCAAAACAATCCCGCCTTGCACGTCTGCCTCAGCCTGTAATCTCTCTATCACTCTAACCATCTTCCCGGCCCCATAGTGTCTTTCCACCAACCCTCCATGTCCCTCCACGATCTGCGCAATGTGTTCAAACAACCTCGTCAACGCCTGCGCGTAGAAGAATCCCTCTTTACCTCTCTCCCCTTTCGTCCCCTCCTTTAAATTCTTTCTCGCCGTTCCTGCTACTCCTTGACAGACATATCTTCCATAAACATCCAGCCCAACCTCCTCCCTCCCAATCAATGGGAACAATTTAAAGAACCTCGTAACTCTCACTCCATCTCCTTCCTCAGCCGCCTTCTCAAACTCTCTCAAAAACAATCCGCACAAGCTTTTCTTTGCTTCCTCAATCGTCACACCTGGCGCATCCGGTACTTCAACACTTGGAACCGTCCTTGCCGCAAAATTGCCCTCAACAATATGTGCCGGGATCTTTGATGCTCTCGCAATGTATCCCGCTGCAGCTTCCCAATCTTGCGGGGCCCCCATACTACCCACCACACCATTTACACATGCTTTCAATTCCGCGACTTGTTCTACAACGGCCAATGTTTCCTCTACTCGTTTCTTCTCCAAATCCAATTCCTTTACCTTCGAGCTCAATTTCTCGGCCGTGCCGGCGGCATTATCTAGCATTCCATTTGAAATCGCCCTGGTATTTATAACATTTGTGCCAAGATGCGCGCGTAAGAGATCGAGTCGGCCGAGATCGCGGGAGAGGGAGGCTTGAGAAGAGATGAGGGATTGGAGACTAGTAGTGATCGCTGCATCGCGGGTATGGAGGTTTGAGAGGATGTTTTGGATAGAGGCTAGGGAGGAGGCATTGCGAATGGATGATTGAGCTGATTCTGGAGACGGTGTTGTGGGTAGAGGTGTGAGACTGCCATTTGGGAGGCCGGGTGGAGGCATTGGGTGGGTTGAGGCATGGGTAGCTCTTCTTTGGGGAAGCTGGGTTGAGGTCGGGTGCATCTTTAGGTGTCATCTTTATGGGTGTGGGGTAAGCGAGAATTTATATTGACGATTTGATCAATAATTTGTCCCCTCACTTTAATCGTTTCCAAAGTTAATTCTTATGTGTGATTGATGAAATCATTGTGAATTCTCCTTACTTTTATTTACTACAATGTATACGCTTGGGAATCTATGCAATACTAAATCTATGTATACAATAGGCATTAAAAGCCATATTTCATTTATACGACTTGACTATACCCACTACCAAGCCTTCTCCTACTCCTTGATTTCCACCATTTTCTTGCTTCATCCGCCCAGAATACAGAACTTGTTAGGATAACCAAGCCAACCAAATCTGTAAGTGCCAGAGCTTCTGTTTGAAATACTTCCTGAAGCCAGGGGAAGTATATGACTAGTATTTGTCCACCAAGACTCAACGATACTGCCCAATTGAAAAGCTTGTTTGAAAATAACCCGACCTCACCTCTGAGGACAGACTTTGATTCTGAACGACAGTTCAACGCATTAAACATATCGAAAAGAACGAAGCAGGTAAATGTCATGGTTGTATCTCTCTTACTGACTTTGCCATCTGAAAGCATTTCGTGAGTATAAACTGCCATGGTACCTAACATGATAATGGTAGCGGACGTAAGGACTCGAGTGATCAATGCTCTTGTAAGTACAGGAGCATTTCTCTTCCGGGGTGGTCGATTCATAACATCTGGATCCACTGGCTCCACGCCTAATGATTGAGCTGGGGGTCCATCCATGATAATATCTAGAGAACTGTTAGTACAAATATGTGATACAACCCAAAATTAACTTACTAATCCAAAGGATCTGCATCGCATTTAAGGGATTCTTGAATCCCAAACACGTGCAGACTAGAACCAAGCTGAGTGCCGCAGCACTTGTGCTAAGTTGAAATGTAAGGAAATTTTGGATATTACTGAAAATCCCTTTGCCCTCTTCAATTGCTTTGAGAATGGTTGAAAAATCGTCATCAGTCAAGATCATATCTGCAGCTTCTTTGGCAACATCTGTTCCTTGCAAACCCATAGATATGCCAATGTCAGCCTTCTTGAGGGCAGGTGCATCATTGACACCATCACCCGTCATTGCGACAATATCACCACGAGCTTGTAGTGCTCTGATAATTTTCATCTTATGATCTGGACTGGTTCTGGCGAAAACGGAAGTATTGGCTATGGCGGCTTGTAACTCTTCATCGGTCATCTCATCTATCTCATCACCTCGTAAGACTGGTCTAACTTCTACAGAGTTTACTGAATGCGCACGTGGTGCTGCAATAGGCATACCGAGCTTCTTTGCAATAGCGAGGGCAGTTGTTTCAGCATCTCCAGTGATCATGATCACTTTAACACCGCCCCGCATGAGTCGCCGAATCGATTTCGAAACACCTGTTCGTGGAGGATCACTCATGCCAACTAATCCAGCAAATGTGAGACCATTGTAGACGTCTTCGCTGTGAGACACATGGTGGTCTAATTTCGAGACTGGTGTTACACTTCGGCTAGTTGGAGCCAATGATTTGGCTTGCCTGGCAACTGGGCCACTAGCAAAACCAAGAACTCTAAGTCCTTCAGAAGCAAGCTTTTCGGCAGCTTGTAAAGCTTGTTGTCTCTTTGCAGCATCCAACTGAACTTCACGACCGTCTTTTGTAAGGTATGTATCACACCTTTCCAAAACTCGCTCGATAGCTCCTTTAATATAAGCATGTTCTTTTGGACTCGATGTACCTTCCGGGCCCAGATCTCCAATGGTAACACCCATCCATTTTCTTTCAGAACTGAATGGGGTTTCCCCAATACGATGACCTAAGCCTTCACGGACGTCGTGCTCTCTGAATCGATCGAGCATATCAAGCATCGCAACATCAGTCGGTTGACCGACCCATCTGCTTTTCAAGACTTGACCTGAAGCACGACCCTGAGTAGAGGATAAAATAGCGACTGACGATGCTGATGGAGCATGAAGATGAGTAAGACGTGCGTTATTAGCTATATTTCCGATGCGAAGAATACGAAGAGCCACAGTATCAGCTTTAGACTCT